AAATCTAGATGGAAAAACATATGTGTGAACTTTAAAATTGATTAAATGAATATCTTGAGAAGTGATGATTCGTATTGTATAAAAACTTAAAAAAACATCTAAAAGATAAGTTACATAAATGTGAAGTTTTGACAAGAACGATTACAGACTATCACAAACTTCAAACCGAACAAAAAGTAAAACCACTAACGGATTTTGAGGAAAAATTTCAGTATATTATTTGAAAGTACTATAATTTTTCCATGACCATCAACAAAAATTACAGAAAATTAAATTTAAATATTTTTATGAAAAATGTTTGAATTGTAAAAGGGGCTAAATGAACAGGCAAAAAGATGGTAATATATTATCAAGCTTTACAAAAGGAGACAACAAGTAGAATAAGAATTAGGCTGAGATAATACTTTGATGAACAGTATATTCTAGAGCAGCTATAACGTTTGAAAGTCTCGACGAACGATGATATCTTTGCTAGTGATGCCAAACTTCTTAAAGTTCTATATCATGAGTATTATGACAATGCTACAGAGTTAAACCTCCCAATAGTGTCACCTCTTATGAGTGACATCCTCTCATTAGTGACGTAAAATCCCAGAACCATTAGTTTCTAATTTGTAAATCTGTTCAATAAGAACGGTACGTCACTATTCCCAACAATGACATGTTACTATGTAATAATGACAATTTCAAATATAATTTCAGACTAAAAATTCCTATACATAGTCATGAGACTTAAAAAAATGTCTCATAAATATATTTAAAGTATATCTCAACAATTCACACTTTCTAGATTTGAGAAAGGATTTAGGGTTTAACCCTAAACCCATAATTTGCTACATATATTATCATTAATTGTTTCACTTAGATTTGTGCGTATTAATCTAAATTTGAATGTAATTATAATGTCCATGTTAACAATACAAATGTACAAATGAAATCCATTTTGAAACCAAACAACACATTCATAGAAAGTCTTAGGATTGATGCAATGCACAATAAGAAATCTATGAACTTTTTTTTGTATAATTGACACCTCCCAATAATGACATTTAACCCCAACACCAATGTATGTCACTATTAGGAGGTAAAATTTAAATTATGCATCTCCCAACAATGACATCCAATTTTAACACCAATGTATGCGCACTTTACTCTTGTGAGTGACACCTCGCAATAGTGACGTAAAACCTAAATATCAATATATGCCACTATTGGGAGGTTTAACTCTGTAGTATACTTATAAAGATACAATCATTTGATTCTGATATACTTGTATAATAAAATAGTTGATCTCAGAAATTAGACAGCGAGATATAGAGCCACGCGTTTCTTCTAGAGAGAGAAAGAGAGAGAAGGTAAGAGTATAATGTCTGAAGAACTCATCGGGGAGTGGATACTTACTTCTACACCGCAAAATAAGCAGGGAACGGAACTCACAAATGGCCATGGTCACATACATTCTTCACCAATGTGACCGAAACGCTCCGTAATATGGTTTAGCAAAGTTGTCCGAATTGACTACATAGCTCTTAATCTTCAGAACGACAGCTCGCAATCCTATTCGTCAAACTTGCTTCACATCGGCTTCTTTCCCATCTCACTTTGATCCTTCTCGTTTTCTACCATTTGGCTCACCCCTCCCATCTTATCATCACCTAGACTATCTTTTATTTGGTAAAATACTTGGTTAACCAATTTTTCCTTTTTTTTCTTCAATTCTGAAGGGGATAAGTACACAGAAAAAGTTTGGAAGACACCATCAAGCACAAGGACGAAAAAGGTACTCAACTGTGTACGTGGTATTTAAAAAAGTGAGCCTATATCCTTCGAAACTTCCATATGTACAGTCACCAAGTTCCATGAACTCACCATTGGGGTTAGTCAAGAGCCGATTCATCCTGTGAGGAAGATCATCGTTGTCGTCGTTGAGATGCGTGAGTGTTGAAATCAGTCTTCAGCCGCTGACTAACATTGTTCGTGACAAAAGGAGTATTTTTCGTCGAGTTCGAAGGGAGTGATAGAGAATAAACAGGGGATTTCGTTAGAGGACCCGTGATAAATGCGTAGCCGAAAATAACTGTTTACAAAGATGAATGAAAACGTGTAACCAAGGGCTAGGCCACAATACTATGAAGACTTATGTCCAGACGCTCTTTTTGCTACTTACTGTGCTTCACCTGGTCTTGGTTTCGACAGGCATATGTCTACATTATTCGTGCTTTTAGATGACTCAGAGGAACCAAATTAGGGCCATAGACCAAACGTCGCGTGACAAGTTTGTCACCCGAACTTCTTGTGCAAATTTATGTCGGAGGAAGCGATTATGTTACGTTTGGACTACGAGGGTCTGCGGCTGCGGTCTTTCGAGTGCCAAGACTTATTACACAGCACGGGTGACTGTCCGGGTGAATAGCAGCCATCTTAACGGAATCAAATGAACAGCAGACAGCAGTGGCAATTCACACAACGGGAGGCACCTCAGCAGACATGACACCTCAGCGCAATTTTTTGGGTCTACCTTCAGGCACTCAGTCTATTCTTCTTCCTCGAGTATCTGATTCACATCTATACCGGCTTCCTCTAATAGCACGCACAGCTAGTCCTATTCTGCCCCCTCACCTCCCCTTCACTTCCTCTTCTCGGATTGCACCATCGATCTCTCTTCCAGTTATTGTCGCAGTTGTCTCATCGACGGAACTCACACCTTCCCTCAGAGTGTCTTATTCCGTGCACCCGTGCGCTGAACTTTGGAGAAAGCTAAGAAGTCCGGGGCTAGATGCCGTGCCAACTGAATATCTCCTCCTCTCTTGCTAGAAACAACAACGTTAACCGCAGACTAGCATGTTTGAAAAACTCACAGCGGGAAATGTAATCGTCATACTCCAAAAGTATGTTCGACAATTGGTGTACAACAAGCTACCTGTCACCCTACTGATGTGCAAATGATAACCAACGCTTGGTAGATCAGACTCACTCCTCTGCTCATTTCCATCAGTACATGGATACAGAGTGGGTTCTTTTTCGGCATTTCCTCTGTGTAAAGGAGTCTTCCTACGGGAGAATAGTTGTTTCCAATCATGCTCTCTACTCTTGTGTTATATATTAGCTCTATGACGACGACAATGCGCACCTTAAAACGTTGGAGTTTACTCTAGGAGCCTTCGCATGGGCGACTCAGAATCCCAGAGATTGATCCAGAATAGTTCTACAACTGTGAAATAAATAAAATTAATCGGTGGGGTGGGTTCGATAAACTTAAGTGCGCAGGTCCACTTCAAGAATTTAAGACTCGTACGATGGGCAACATTGCGGGCATCCTCTAGGTTCCTTGGCAACAAACGACTTGGCATTGCAGTCCTCTAATGGTTAACGGAGACATACAATACCGTCTACCAAGAAGTATCTCCAACGGTGAAGATGTTACTCCGTCGCTGGAAGGAGCTCAAAGATCTCCTGCGTCCACCACCACAACCCAACACGGCAGAATCAAGGCCTACGCCTCGACAGGAATGCACAGCTTCTGCATCCTGGCAACAATCAAGAAAATGGTGGTCCATACAAATTGTGGAACATCGAGTAATATTGGAGATCCATCGAGTATAAGGAGGCGAAGACCCCATCACGTTATCACTACACTTCATGATGCTGGCTTCCGCATGATCAAGATCAAGGACTGCATTCATACGGTGTGTCTATTAGACGACAATAAGATCCTAGCGTCATATTCATTCCTTATCCGACTTGATTAGAACAGATCTGGAATGACTCTAGACCCACCTTCGTTTCTTTCTGCTCTGTAGTCTACATCCTTTTTTATATTTTTTCGTCGTCTCTCCGTATTTGTTATTCCTTCGTCCATCCATGTGTCGAGTTCATTCCATGACCCCATTTTGCATGTTCCCTCTTTCCCGACTTGCAGCGAATCCTCCCAACGACGGTACCAGGTAGCAGGATTACAGAAGGAGGCCTTCGCAATATTTTGTTACTTCCCAAGCTCTACGGCTTGAAAAGCTGCCACAAAAGGGTCAAGTGATGAAGCTATGGGGGCAAGTTCGTAGTTTCCACGAAATAAAATCACCTGACGGCTGTTTCGAACAGTTCGCAACGCAAAAACGAGAGCATCAAGAAAAAATCTTTCCAGATCTTGTCACGGTGCTCTCTCTCATTGGAAAGAAGTAGTGTGGAAACATCCGAAGAAAACCTCCGCAACATCGACGCCTCATCGACGCACTCGAATGTGTCCACGGAGACTCGCTCGGAGATCGCGCTTCGCCTGTTCCCATCGGGATCGTGAAATCCAGCCCGCCCAGTTGAAAAGCTTCCGGGCAGCGGTAGGTAAGAGAATAGCCAGTTCGCTCTCAGGAATTGGCCCGTTCACCGTCTGCCGCCGATTCGTACGGTTTTTAACTTTGGTTCAGACGTCGCTCTTTGGGTTCTTACGCTCTCGTTGGATGTGCTCAGGTCCGCGAGAATGGTACACCCATCTTGCACTTTGGCCGATGACCTCAACGCTCAATGACAATGAATCATGTGATAAATCCTCTTTCAATCCTCTCGAAAGAACTAATATCAGCAAAGAGTATTTAGGATAAAAAGTAATTTTCTTTTCAAACAGATACAGTTCAGGACTTAGTATAGTTTATATCATTTTTCTTTCATATAGATATATTTCGTAGGATGCCCTACTCTCCAGGACGTTGTAAAAGTTTATATTCGGGATTGCCCTGTCTTGAAAAAATTAAACTCAAAAAATTGAAAAATGTACTCTGTCTTGATAATAGTTGCGAATGTGGCACTACAGTTGCACGATTGTACGGTCTGAATACTGATTACATTTCGATAAGGTTTTACATATTGTGGTTTCTTTTTCAATATGATATATGCGAAAAGATTACATGGTGAATTGTTCAGAAAGAAGGATTGATGCCGAAAATTTTATTACAGGGTTTGTACAATTTACAGTATTGATTTTATGTATTGCCTTTTCTTTATTCAGGAGTGGGTACATATGTGCATGTTACGGAACAGGAATGAATTTTCTAACAGATCGCGAAATGATTTAAGTTCTCGTAACTATTAGCAGAACTCAAGCAATGTGAGTCTGTACGAAGTAATGGCACTGCGAGCTAGCCGTGGAGTTGATGCAAGTGCAAATGATGAGCAATTTGTGACGGATGAGGCATCAGTGAAAGAGGGGAGATTCCGATTATCAGCAGTATACAAGTAGATGGCGGAAGTGAAGTTTATTCAGTAGACGAATTGGTGACAGAGATCAAAGTCCGCAGCTCAAATTCTGGCTTGTGCGCCACTACCATACGACTCACTCGGCAAAAGCTCCTACGATCTAACTATGGTACAAAAAGGCATCTGTTGTAGTGTCAACGAATTGAAGAGAGCGCGATCTAGTTTCCGGGGGTGAAGTTGGTGGCATAGGCCCATGCGTTGTTGACGGCTGGGTCGGCCAAGTGGTCGGACAGGTTCTCGATGGGACCCTTGCCGGTGACGATGGCCTGCACGAAGAAGCCGAACATGGAGAACATGGCGAGGCGGCCGTTCTTCAGCTCCTTAACCTTGAGCTCGGCGAAGGTGTCGGGATCCTCAGCCAAGTTCAGGGGGTCGAACTGGCCTCCGGGGTAGATGGGGTCGCTCACCTCTCCCAGGGGTCCTCCTGCGACTCTGTATCCCTCGATGGCTCCCATGAGCACGACCTGGCAGGCCCAGATGGCCAGAATGCTCTGGGCGTGGACGAGGCCAGAGTTGCCGAGGTAGTCCAGACCTCCCTCGGAGAAGATCTGAGACCCGGCCTTGAACCATACTGCCTCGCCGAACTTCACACCGTTCTTCGCCAGCAGCTCGGGGGTCACACATCCCAAAGCTCCCAACATAGCCCATCGGGCGTGGATCACTTCCAATTCACGGTTCTTGGCGAAGGTCTCGGGGTCGGCAGAGAGTCCGGCAGTGTCCCAACCGTAGTCACCGGGGAACTCACCGGTCAAGTAGCTTGGGGTGGCACCGGAGAATGGGCCCAAGTACTTGGGTCGGTCCTCACCATACCTGAACAAGGAACGAGCGCAATGTTAAAAATTCGAGCATTTTCGGTATCAATAAAACAAAGGGAACCCAAGCGGCGGACAATGCAAGCAGCTGAGAGTACATCGAGATCGGAGGTGACACTGTACGAAGAGTGATCGATGGTGGTGTTGGATGTGGTGCTTACCAGATGCTGGAAGAGGCGGCCTTGGAACCGGTCTTGCGCATGACCACGCGGGCATCGCCGACGTTCACCTTGGCGGCGAGTTGGTTGCTGGAAGCCCCGAGGGCTTGACCGGCGAGGCTGGTGGAAGCGCAAGCTGTGACGGAAGCCATCGTGATCGATCGGGGGCTGGACGCGAAAACTGCAGATGGAGAGAAGGGGAAGCGTGCAGGTGTGCTTGAGATTGACGAGGGAGAAGGTTATGTACAAGGGGAAGAGGCGAGCGGAGGCTGATGTGGACGAGCGCAGAGGGCAGTCTTGTGCCAAGTGCGAACTCGCGCGCGCTGTCCACATGGCGTGGTTTGAATGACCGAGGGCCCAAGCAATCGACGGGCCCAATGACAATGCCTTTCCCATGTGGCATGTCCCTACTTTGTGGACCCTATCTAAAGTGGATTGAGGATCCGCCCCTCCGATGGACCTCCCTCGCGTCTGCACCGGCACGTCAAGTCATCGTGATCCAGTTCCCGTAATCCAGTTATTCGTCCACAGAAAGAAAGACTACGGGAGTTCACTTCAATATTTCCGAATGCTCGTTCGTATCGTTCGTATTTCCGTAAAGTGACCTGACCTTAGAGGGTTCGAGCCTGACATGAGAGTTTAAACGGGAGCTGGTTGCTGGCTCCTCACGATATCGCCGACAGAAGTAAACTGGTTCGGCTCGATTGGAAATTGGTAAATTTCCTATCACAGCCAGACTACTGTCCGTGAACTGTGGGTGGAGTTTTCTGACAACCGATTCAGCCGGTCGGTAACGTTGTGGGGCTAGGACAATTGGCTTCAGTAACAGAGTGTCATATCCTAAGCCACGGAACCTTTGTTTTTACCTACTGATCGGAGGTAAAAACAAAATGGGGTTGAAGGGAGTGGAGAGATCCGATATCATGGGAGAGTGATCACTTGAAACCATCACCGCTATGATTGTGGGGGAATTCAGAGTACATTGCAGAGATTCTTGCTTGTTTTCCTTTTCAATCCCCGTTTCGCAACTTTCCAGCACAGGTTTGTGACATTCTAATAATGCAGATTTACGTAACTGGAGCAAGAAATTTGTTCCGTTCCAAGGTTGCAAAAGATGTAAGTTTCGTCTAAAGGTCCATTCTATGTAATGTCCTTAGGCTATCTCATAGTTATTGTTGCTTTTCAGAAACTGACTTCTCAGACGTATCGGATGAGGAAATCTCGATGTTTCCAGTTCAGAAAACAGATAAATCCGGATTCTTTCCTCAACTGAAATATTGCAGGTTCTTCTGCACATAAATTGACATAGACAATCAACTGACAACTTGACGAGCCCTCCTTTCTCGCCCAAAAGAAGAGATCGACGTATGATAGGGTGAGGCTAAGATTTCACATTTTCTTGGGATATTTTGAAAACCTGTAACACATTACTGTTGAAGTAGTGTGGTTTAAAATAATGCAGGAAATAAATCCATTCTAATAATGTACAATTTTGATTCTTTAATCAGTCTATAATTGTAAATTCCACCAATCTAATAAATTGCCTATCAAAGTTCTTTTGGTACAACTCAAAGAGTGTTTTTTATTCAATGTTTTCCTGTATAGAAACTTAAGCATCACTGCATACTGATCACAGATTCCATAGCGATTATTTGATGTGCAATTTCATAAGAAGATAGTTTTGCTGGATTAAAATATTACTAAATATGACTTAGATCTATTTTATATATTCTCTGTGAATTTATTAGAAGTATCCTTTACTTGTTTATAGAATAAATTATGCATATTGGTAGGAAAGACGCCGATATGTCTTTATTTGACATAATATTATAAGACAAGTACCTCACACTTAAGTAAACTCTTTTGAAATGTTAACTATTATTTATCCATTTCCTAGCACAGTCCTTTCGTAGCCTTATTTTAAAATTTAATATCTAACTTATATTTAGGATGAAATAAACAAAAATTCCAAAAAATCAGTTATGAATTTTCTATGATTCTTATTTCCCATGAAATATAATACCTATGTTTTTTCCGAAAAATTTGTCATTTTTATTCACTCAAGTTGAGAAGTATAAACTTGAGTGAATACTTTCAGATGGCAAATATATTACAAAATAAAACTTAGAAAGATATAATGAAATCGGTAAAAAATTTTTGAAAAATTTGAATTTTAAAAAAATATATTAAAATATTTATTCTAATATAAGGGTTTTTGTACGGGTCGTGTAAACTGCTTGCTAAAGATCAATTTTTTATATTGATTTGAGTTACATGTGTTACTTGCAATATTTCAAATTGATTTTCATTATTTAGGATATTTTTCTTCCTACGAAATAAAGTTTAATTCAATGCTGAATTTGCAATGATTGAATAATTCAAAGTATTTAATTTCATGTGGTTTTTACGTTAACTTTTTGAAGTAATTCAAAAACTAGAGACATCCTTTTTATGAAGATGGTTAATTTTTACAAGATAAATTTTTATTGATTGCAATTACCTATTACTAGATAGAAAACTGTGGTACCCCACTTTTGGTAATTTTGAGGAAATTAAAACATTTTTGGAAAACTGTACCCTGGCAGCAATGTAAATAGCCTTCGGTGCATCAAAACAGAGTGAATTCGGAAGATCGCGGAGATTCTCGAGGGATCTCGTAGAATCTAGGAGTTGGGTGCAGCAGTAAGGACGGGCACCACCCTCCCTGCGAGCTCTGCAGTTAGGATCCCTACGGCGCAAGGCGCAAAACCCGCCTTCGGAGCTGCGTCCGCGGCGGTAGGGAAATCCTTCATATTTAGGTCAACCCCCAAACGCCTTGACCTAGCTAGGGTTTCGTTGGAAAGAGCTCGACGCACTGATTCCAACGAGCCCAAGAACGCCAACAGCGGATAAGGACTCCGGGAGTTATGAAGGTTGTAAGATACTCAGCTCTTCGCCTACGCACAGGCGGAGAAGTTTTGTCCTATGCGCGAACGAAGGAAGTTCGCCTGTGCACAGGCGAAATAGGGTTTGAGGTAGGCGCGAAGTTCGCCTACGCACAGGCGTCTGCCTGTGCACAGGCGCTTCGGCGTCGGCGGGAAATCCGCCTTGGGCCCTAGAAATGCGCCTTGTGAGGTAGAAATTGTACGGCGCCTTCTGCGCCAGCGCAGCGCCGCGGGCGAGCAAGGAGCCGCCAGAATAGTCAAATCCGTACGGACCGTACGGACGGGACGGATGGATGCGCTCTTGGACGGACGGAGTTGCGGCGGCGGAAGCACCGACGAAGAGACAAGGAACGGACAGTCTGGACGGAGACGGCTGACCGCGGTCAACGCCTTCCGCGCCAGCGCGTCGCCGCGGACGGAATTCGCCTGCGCACAGGCGAGCGCCTGTGCATAGGAGGATGAAGTTCCGCGCCGGCGGAGAATCCGCCGAGGAGTCTGCCTGCGCACAGGCGGAAGTTGAACTTTTGTCTGACATGCGAACACACGCGTCGAGGCAGAAGGGGATTGGCTGAGGAGCGGTACGAACGAGTGTACCGCGCAAGGCGGAAAACTCGCCTTCGGCGCTGCGCACCCATGTCCGCGCTGTAGTACGCTCGCGGAGTTCAAATCCGCCAATTCGAGCGTGAGAGTTTAATCGGCGACGGCGGAGCGTGAAGCCGCGCGTGAGAGCGGAGACCGTTTGTAATAACCCACTAAAGGCTAAAACTGCAATATAGTGGTAGAAAGGTCGAACCCACAGGGACAGAGGAACACACAGGGTACAAAGTGTCACGTTTTAACAGACTATTGAGGAGTTTGAATTCTCAGGCAACTGTCACTCCCAGAAATACTGCAAGTGTCCACTCGGAGCGCACTCGGAGGTCGCACAGTGCAGCGTAACACACACACACACACACCTGAAACTACAGAAACACAACCCAGAGATCCGTTAGGACCTCTACTTCAAGATTTCAGGGGGAAAGTCTCTCGCGAGCACACTCGGCAAAGCTGCGGGCAGTGACTTCCAACTCCGGCTTTTACAACACTTCCACTAGCTTGCTGCTAGTGTAGGAAACCCGGTTTGGACTGCCTACTTCGGATCGAAGTCACTCCTGCGCGGTGAACAACACTCTCAACTCACAAAACGCGCAGAGAACACAGGTCCGCACTGAAGGACTCACTGTGAAACATTCCAGTAACACAACAACAGTCTATTGAAGAGTTTGAATTCTCAGGCACTTGTCATTCCCAGAAATGCTACAGGGGTTACCCTCAAGGCACCTGCTGCAGCGTAACCTGAATTTACAACCAAGGCTTACACGAAGTAGCAAAACTTCACTTTGGCATTCAGGGGAAAAATCCCACGGAGTACAATCAGAAAGAAACACTCGAAGGTGTAGGGGCGAAACTGTTCAAGTATTTAACTAGTCACTGGCTCTGAGCATCGGCAGTCACACGCAGGTGCAGATCCGAACTACTCAAGTCTCTAACCAATGTACTAGCTCTGAACATTCGGCCGAAGGCCTTCAGCTACAAAATGCGGAACGCTAAGTTGTAACTCCTCCTGCGTGGTGACAGAACTCAAGGACACAAACACGCAAAGGAAATGGGTTCCTGATCTGCACTTCTGATGGGAAAGAACCCCAGGCAAAACGCCTGGAACTATTTTATACCTTCTAAGTCCTACCTAGCACTACACTGCACTACGCTACACGCCTGCACGGAACCACGCTACACTACACTCCGCGGAACCTGTACTACGTCTCCTGCGCGGCCGACTGCCGCGCACTAACTCCCTACCCTGCCAATCTTCCGCTCGACTGCGCAGTCCCAACCGCTGCAACGCCGCGGACACCTCCCCTTCGAGGGCGGACATGGTATCCTGTGCCTTCGACAGAAAGGCGTCGAGCTTCTTTGCTACCTTCCGCCGACTCCTACTGTCGCCTGACAACAACCCGGCTGCGCGCAATTCAAACTCTCGCAGCGTGAGTTTCTCCTGCGCCTTCACTTCCCAGTGGGCGTAGCCCTTGAGACAGTGGGCGACTCGCCTCGCCGTCTCCACCTTCGTGCGATCCGCCTCCTTCCTGCGATCCTCTTCAATTATCACTAATTGCGATTCGGCTTCAGCACGTTGCGCTCTCAATTCGCCACACTCTGACTGCAACCTGCGGATTAATTCTTCATCCGCCTGCCGTGCGAGCTGACATTGTTCCAACAACCGCGTCTGTCGCACGAGCTCCTCTGACAAAATCCGAT